CAGACGGTTAACGTGTCTTCTAAAGGTCGCTGAGTATTCCGCGAACTCATCCCAACCGCCACTGAGAGTTCGTACCGTAGATGGTCCGCTGAATGCGAATCCGGCCAGTCCATTATTAATAATAAGGACAGCCTGGATTCAGTGACATAGGGCCGTATCCGATATTTGTTGAAATTTCGGAGGTGACGCCGTCGAGTCCCTTGCACCTTGGCGTCTCTGTACATCACTCGACCGAGAGTTCGTCGCTTGAACAACTTGGGCGGTGTCACATCTTTGTCGACGGGTGATAATCCGCAACCACGGAGAAATCACTACACCACAGAGCACCGAGAAATTCTCGGCAGCAGTATTGGTGGTACGACTGCGCGAGGGTAGCATCTTGTAGATTGGGAAATGTCAGGTGTGATCCCTATTTTTTGTGTTGTCAGTAACACGTGGAGGTTCAAAATAAGATCATTAGATTGGCTATAAACGATTGTCAGTAATAAGTGCGCGTCAGTAAAGAACGGAGGATGCCGGTAATTGCTTCCTGCTTCCTTCCCATTTGGCGCCAGAAGTACAGGCACACGATTAGTCCACAGTTACCACTGCTCTTCAGGATAATGACTTGCACCGACGTGACACTATAAGTCTGTGGAAGACGACTCTTCTTCACTAGTTCTTCCGCTAGATCTGTGAGCAACTTTCGATTCCGCGTTTGTTCGTGCTATCGTAGCAAAAGACAGTTTCTGTAGCTCCATCCACCACGAGACAGACCGAGTGACTTCTGTTGACGTTCAACGACAAGAAGTCTAATTGCTTGCAAACTGCTGCCACCTCACTCAGCGTCTTGGGCTGAATGCACATTCCTTCTTTGGACGTATTGGGAGCTGGTGTTTCATCGCCGGTAAAAATATCGTTGTGTTATAGTCATAGACATTATGCAGGGTCTTTGTAAAGGCTGAATTGAGGTTGTCGTTGTACCGACACGCGCTACGTACACAATAGGGACGAGCCCAATGTAAACCCATACCGTCTCCAAATCCAGGAAGCCGTTGTAATGACCAAGCATCTATCATTTGTTTTAGCTAGATCAGCAGGGACTTCATGCGCGATATTGCGTCCACTATGCACATAAGCCAGTATAACACTTCATTTCTTGCACGCCTGTACGCACGAGACTCCACACGTATTTCCTACTCATGATTTGTCGGTGTGTAAAGTCTCCAATCCTTTATTTACGCACATCCTCCACATAGTAAAGCGCTTCGCCACACCCTGCACGAGCCCGCTTGCGACTGCCGATGAAGGCCACCTCACTACTCCTTTCGTCGTCACTATCCATGGGGCAGCTGAATTCGCTCATGTCATCTCTCGAATGGTGAGAGTGGGACACCTTCTGATCCAAGCTTCCATCGTTGTTACCACCACGCGCTGTAGATTCTTCCTCCAACTTGTCCGTGTTCTAAGTATTGAAGGCACCGGTCCATGCTGCTTCATTTGCCACATAGCTACCAATATCAGGACTTCCTTCGTCCGCATCAAACATGTCGTCCTCGCGGCTACCAGTGTTTGTCTGGATACAGAACGGATGCAGGAACATCTAGGATTTGTTGTCCCGGTCCATAACAGCGGACGGATGTCAAAACTAGCCCAAAACACAAAGTAATCATGTTAGAGAATCATATATTTGAACGAAGAAAACACGGTTGTTTAAATACACGATGTGGCTTGGTGGCGGCCCGTTTCGATCTCGGAAACTGAACGAGTCACTCCTCACCGATGGCAGGTTCTTTAATGATAAACGTCACAGAAACGTGTGAGCACGTTGACGATAAGGTCTACGGTTTGAATGCGCAGGGTGGCACTTGGTCTTGAGTCGCCCCAGCGCAGTCTTCTTGCTGTCTTGCCAGAACGATTTGTTGTCCTCGCAATATCTATCAGCACCTCTAAGAAAATTGTATCTAACATGTACGACACGTAGTGCAACGCGGCATAAACTACATACAGTAATCAGGTTAAGTCTACCAAATACGCGTGTCAGTTGCCGGAGTTTGCAGTTTGGCTGGTCGAACGGCTTCACTCTCGCCTTCAACACCCCCGAAGCGGGCAAGTCTAGCAAGGAAAGAAACAAGCCCCCGTAAAGGAATTTGAACACCCCACGTCAATCAAAGTCGACAAGTTATCTGGTGCGTAGCCTGAAGCGTTTCCACGCCACGTCACCCCCAACCATCCTGCGTCCCACCAAGACAGAGCCAACCCAAGCTTCCCTTCAAGTCCACCAGGGGGATGTAACCAGCCCCACCGACGGGTACACAAGGTGATCCCTCAGCAACCCCACCGTTATAGGAGTTCCCCCTCCATCAGTTGGTAGTCCGGGGCACGGTGTGTGAGATTGGATCGCAAGTTTTGCGAGAGCCACTCCACCACACGATCTCGAAGAAAGGAGGAGAAAGTAGTTACCAAATGAAAGCTGTCAGAAGACTAACAAGATCAATACATGAACATTACCTGGATGAAACCCGGGAAACCCTGTTTCTTTGTGATTGGAGCGTTTTCTACCCACCATGGCCTGAACATTGGCGAGAGCTTCAAAAGGCTGTCACTTACAATTTTTCGTAGAATGTGGACGTACGTACTGTCCAGGTTTGAGTATCTGTAAAATACCTGCTTGAAGTCGTCGACTTTTCACTGGCTACGAAAGCTCCGACAAAGTGGAAACGCCGTCACTTTAGCATTTGCTCAAGTAAAGCGCAGGCGTTATTTTTCGGGCTTACAACCCGGTTGAGACTTTCACGTGTAATGTATGGCCAATAATAAATACTTTGCACATGGTTCGGCCTCAATACCAGCGATCCTGAAAAAAAAGAATTACAACCTGACCAAGCCTGACCATACCTGGGGCTATCAGAATCTGAGTATTTTCGAAAGCTGGAAAACTGAACGAGACCGTTGTCTATGGGGTTGTATCTAGCTAGCCGAGTGCCGCCGCTACGCGGCGGGTAAGAATGAATGTCGTTCCTTGTATTTTGCCTCCGTTCCGCTCGCCACGGGCTCGCTTCACTACTCGCACGGTAAGTTGGCAAATTGTGGCTCAGGCGGACCCAAAAGCCCGCAGGGTTGCAGAAGATGCCGATTTGGGCCGCCTCGCTGCGCTCGGCAGCTTTTAGGCCAATCGGGGCCACCTTCGCTGCGCTCGGCAGCCAGTAGAAATATTTAAATTATTTTATCCAATGATTTGTCCGGAAAAGCGGACAGGCACGACAATTTAGTGTGACGGACAGACAGGTTGCTGCAGTAGATGTTTAAGACTAGCAGAGTGCCGCCGCTACGCGGCGGGAAAGAATGAATGTCGTTCCTTGTGTTTTGCCTCCGTTCCGCTCGCTACGGCTCGCTTCACTACTCGCATGGTAGGCTGGCACATTGTGGCTCAGGCGGGCCCATAGGCCCGCAGGGTTGCAGAAGGTGCCGATTTGGGCCGCCTCGCTGCGCTTGGCAGCTTTTAGGCCAATCGCGGCCACCTTCGCTGCGCTCGGCAGCCAGTAGGAATATTTAAATTATTTTATCCAATGATTTGTCCGGAAAAGCGTGACAGGCACGACAATTTAGTGTGACGGACAGACAGGTTGCTGCAGTAGATGTTTAAGATGATGATTCGAGCGCTCCAAAATTAAATTCAAAATCGCAGCTAGTGCTAAGACCGCATCTTCCTTCTCAACATGATCCAAAAACAATCCTAATTTTCCTAAATAGATCAGTTCGTTTTTCGAGATCGCAGATTTGCAAGACACACTACAAACACTTTTTCTTTTCCAGAAATTACATTGGTAAGGCTGTTATGTTGACTTTCTGGAGGTCTTGGCCGTGATGTTCTAATACTTAGTTCCAGTGAAATATTTTTTTAGACCATTGGATTTACCCTTTTTCTGACAATTGCTCTAAAATCTTGAGCTAGTCCAAAAGCTAAAATTCTATAGTGGGTGACGAAATTTCATCACAAACATTAATACTGTACAGGCTCAATTATGTTTGGATTTCGAGCTCTCCGTGTAAATCACCTGACACGATCGACAATGCTATATTCGGGGGCCCTGTGGGCGGGCACCCTCATCAAGGATTAAAGGGAAGTCGTCGGAGAGATACCACTACCGGTACTCCCAAATCTTCTATGTAGAGTTTTGCCTGCGTTCCGGTTCTTTAGATTGGAGTCCCTGGGTCAACACGTTATGTGGCGAGACAGCTGTCCATTATTTTGGTGCCAGGTCCCGGTGCGTTTCTGGTTGTCTGTCCGTTGGCCAGCCTCCAAGGCTTATCCAATTCTAGGGGACGGGGGGGGGGGGCACTACTGCTGACATGTGAATCGGCGAACAACGTTAGCGACAACCAACATTGGCGTTAGATAACAAATCAGCAAGCCACAGATAAAATCTGTCACACTATTTTTTAGGGGCAGTTTTTGCTAGCTACTTACAGTAGAAATTGATCTTCTTTGTGGAATCGAGTTGGTTTTTTCAAGCAGACACGAAAAGTACTGACAGCTAATGTTGAGCTCAGATTTTTTCTAACCCCAAATAATTCTGCTCAGCAGATGTGCAGTGCAATCTATCTTTGCAGTGTGGGCCAAAGATTCTTTCTAGAAAAAAGGTTTTATAATAGTTTAACATACGTATAAAGCATTGGGATTTTCGTCCTCGAGTATTTTTGTATTCGCAGTTTGTAAGTGCCGTAGCAGTGCCAAGAGAGGGATTGGTTTGGTATTATTAAACGTTACCACAGTATTAATAGCTCCTTCTTCATTTGAGCCTTGCTTGGGTGATACCAGGTGGTTCAAGCTCGCTCAACAATGATGTGAACATCAGTTTGCATTTCTCCCTTCCGAGTGAGCGCCAACATCTGCGGACCTATCAAATCACAACCACACCCCGATCATCTTGTCACTTCCAGGCCATCCTGCACCTCACGTTGCTCCTATCAGCAGACCTCAGTTTCATTTTCTCTTCATCGACTCATTTGCAAGAAATATGACAACCAATAACCACCACACTAAAGGTGGCTGCGCATCCAATGTCTTATCCCAGGACAGCAAGCTCACCCGAGGCTTGAAGCGCGAAGCTGAATCCGTGAGCGTGGCCACAAACAGAGACGAGCCTCCAACCAAGCGCCCCTACTATGGCAAGTGCCAGTACAAGACCGGCAAGTGCTTCAACGAACGCACCCTCAAGCGCAATGGTGAAGCACACTCGCTTTGCGAGGAGCACCGCGTCAAGCAGAACTTGATCCAGCGTCGCAGTGACCGCAAATACCAAACGGTGCATGCCATTCGCCGTCGTGAGCGATCGCAGCGTCGAGCTGTGTTGAAGAAGCAGGTCTCGATGGCGGTGGCCCAGCAGCTCTTTTATGAGCATCAGCAACAGAAAACCCTGGGTATCCCGCTGCCGCAGCATCACCCTTTGCACTTGCTGACGGCCACTGCGAGTGCTGCACCTGACACCCCGAACGCAAGCGGAATCGTGGGCCCTACTCCGCCAATTCAAGTCCCGCATCCGCCTTCAGCATTTATGCTAGATGGCCACCGTAGTGTGGGTGCGCCTCTGTTGTTAACGCTCCGCCCCCACAACGATCGCGTGGAGTGTGCTACTGCGTCGCAAAGTAAGAAAGCGACAAGGCATATCAAGGACGATTCTACCCCTACGGGCATTGATAACTTCACACCAGACTCGTTTCTGAATATCCCAGTATCCCGGGATCACAGCTTGCAAGCTCCAAGAGACCGGGAGAGTTCGCAGAGCAACACCATCAGTGACCACCATGGCTACATGCCTATTGTGTCGTGTTCAGGAGACAAGGAGACGTGGAGTGACGACGACATCGAGTTCCTGCAGACCGTCCTGTTAGCCTAAATGGTTTTGGCTAAAGTATTTACCGAGTTGCGCACTACGATTATTTTCTTATTTTGCGAAATGAAGATGAGTTCGATTTCCTTATAACGGAGGGGGTAGTTTTTAATTAAAGAGGGAAATTAATACCTAGAGAGCATTTCCTCCGCTATTATGAAGCGATGTCCTTATCTTCTGAGTGCACCTTCACCATTATTAGAGGGAGTTTTACTCAGCAAAATCTCGAGCCTGCTCGTGGATTTTCGAGAGGCTGGGCGTCTCCAGTCCTACGACGCTTTGGCCTCCGACCCAAACACTATGGAACGCGTGTGGCCTTCTCCGTGGGCAATACATAATCGGAGATGTACTACACTTTAAACGCGTATTGGCGATAATGGATTTTGAGAGTGCCACTACAAGACTAATATGAATGGCTCACATCGGATACCTTCCAAATGTCATGGCAGCAGGTATAACTGCCCCTGGAAACACGCGTACGCGGCCATTCGAACAAGGCACTAACACTCGAGGCGGTTCGAAGATAAAGGATGAGGACGGACTCCACTATCGTTTTAGTCGAGACTGAGCCAGATTTTCCTCGCTGGCACGCGCGGTGCGTCGTCAACGTTGCGGCACTCGATCGGGTCAGGCGTTGGGCGCTGATCACTTTGTAGTGACGGCTCGAAAGCAATTCGGATTTACGCCAGTCCGAAGCTTTCTGGCCCCACGCCGCGCCTGACCAGGCAGTCAACCTTCCGTCTCATCGAGTTAAGGGTGCTCAATCCTTCGCGCTCAAAATTTGCCGAGATGAAAGAAAAAGACACGCCTCAGCTTCAACTTGATCTTTAATTTATTCAAGTTAAAAAGCACAATACCAACGGCCACTTCAAACGGATGGCATTCAGAGTGAGCTCGCAGAGCTCGTTGCCCATTGCCCCCGTGTCGAGGAGGGCCGCCTATACTGCAAGCTGGGAAAGAGTGAAGTGGGCGACTGTGGTCTCCGTTGCCGCCCTGGGGTTTGTTGAGCTAAATAAGCTGACAGCTGCAACCGCAATGCCATGCGCCTCCCCGTTACAGAAGTGAGGATCCTTACGGCACAGGTAATAGCAATATCAGGTGATTCAGGACGCTCGACACACCAGTATCAGGCGCCGCTTCGCTGGTTAAAGAGCCCACAGTGACAAACAAATGTGCATGCGGACATTGGCACTTGCGGCGTTTGAAGAAGCGTCGAACCGAACCATGCATGCAAAGACGTGCTGTCGACGAATTGCATCGAAGCTTATTAATACGAACTTTAGTGACCAGGACCTGAAGTACTTACAGTACTCCACCCCGTTTTCGCGGGCGTGGATTATATAGGATTTACAAATAAATTAGATTTTAGCTTCTAAACCTTGGTTCTTTTTTGATTCATGACAATCGCATCCGGAAGTTTATCAGAGCGCGAAAACGGGGTGCAGTACTGTACGTACATGCAATCACAATTTGTGATTCACCATTTCGGTGGACCAATCCGCTTGAAGATCTACCGGGTACACGGTGATGACTATCCGCTCAAAAGCGATGCGCCACATCTTGACGACAACCGAGTATGGCATGTGTTGGAATTCTTACTTTTAGGCCGTGCTCGGTTTGCAGGGGCAAATCCAGCTTGTTTGAAAATAAGCTAGAGCTGTAGAACAGTCGTTTTGTTAAGTAAAATAAAGATAAAATAAGTGATCGTGTTCCATCAGAAAAAAACTGGATTTGAAGGCGCAAAGGAGGACGAATCCCAGAGCTGAATTTTGAAACCAGTCGTTTGGTGCTATCCTGCTGGATGTCATTTTTTGTGTTTCTTAGCGGAATAAAGACATTCCAGCTCTTTAATAACAATTACAGCTGGTTTTAGCTTAGATCGAACACGGCCTTACATTTTTCATTGTTACTTAAAAAGAACTTTGCATGTTCACCCGCTTAAAAACGTTTTGAGATCGAAATTCTACATTGTTCGCGTAAAATAACGCTCGGACTTCACTTAGATTTTGTACTGGTATTTTACACCCAACAAGATCAATAGCTTTCAATTGATAATGTTATTCAACCAATCAAATTGAGTAGAGGACGGTGAGTCATCTACGCCAGCTGATCGGACGTATCCCGTCCGATCGATACGCAAAATATGTGTATGTTTATTCAAACCAAATGGCATTACCATCCACCCGTATATATAAGCCAAATTGGCTCGTGAAAGCCGTCTTCTAACACACTGTCGGGATCCATTAGAGCGATCCAATATCCTGAGGCAATGTCCATCATGGCGAAAAGCTTCGCGCTCCCCAGAACGTTCAGGATGTCGTTAATCATAGGCATTGGGTAACTGTCCTTCTCTGTACCAGCGTTTACTTTCTGAGAATCATTACAGAATCTAACACCACCGTCAGGCTTTCGTATTATCATCACTGGACGGGACCGGGGACTTGTCGAAGGTCTAATGATTTCAAGATCCAGATAAGCTTGGATCTCTGCTTCCATGACGCCCCCTTCGGCTTTTGGCACTCGGTACGAAGGATGCTTTACTGGCATGTGGTCCCCGGTGTCAATACCGAACTGTATCAGGTCCAACCTTCCTGGCTTCTTCGAGGCCTTGACGAATAAGTCCCTCAGGTCGTTCAACATTTTTGCGAAGAGGCATCTTTGTTCGGCGCCGAGCGACGCGTCTTCAAAGTCGACCTCAAAGTCGTCTTCATCACCCTCGTCCAGGGCGGCACTCATCTCAGCCTCGATCGGTCCAACTTCGGTCGTCGCGTCCTCTTTCATCGTACTTCACACTGCTCTAATGTATTTCGTCGCTCCATCTAGATTAGAAGCTCTCGTAATGAGCGCCGACTTCGGAATGATTTTTACTGCAGCGACGTACGCACCAGTGTTGATCTCGACCTCTTCCGCAAAAGCGCTCCACTCCTCGACCAGAACAGCTCCATCCGTCACGGTACACTCGCGCTCAAAGACTCGTTCCGGTAACACCGCACAGCACAGCTGAACGGTCCTTTATCATTCTGCAGACGGTCGATCTCACTAAGGCCTGGTGTCCAGGCTCCAAACGCATGGTCGAAGATATCGTACCCGCGTAAGTTCTTTCTACTCTTGTCGCGCCCAACGGAACCAAGTCTCCCGTCCCCTTTAGTGTCATCGACCGTTCTTTGAGATCAATCACTGCACCGAACGCCTTCAAAGCGTCGGTTCCAATAATCGCGTCGACAAACAAGTGGTGTGCCACGACGAAGAAATGTTCTTTCCAGCATTCCAAGTGCCATGGTCAAGTTTATCACACCGCTAACACGAATGTTGTGCCCCGAAACACTATACAAGCTCCCAGTATAGGGTCTCAGGGGTTCGGAAGCTCGACCGAGTCGCTTGTCCTCACGGTCGCAGCCACTATTTTTGGCGTCTCGGCTTCCCCGTTGCACAACGTTTCGCGAATAACTTGGGCTTCCGTCCTGAAATAGTCTCGCGTCCAGGCCAAATCTCGATTTTGGAGCGTTTCAGTCAACGTTCCACAACGTCCACGCGGTATTCTCGAATCGAGTCCTCATCCAAGGGAAACCCGTCCGCTTTGTCACGTAAGGGAGGGATGCCATCATCGGCATGACCGTTCTCTCGGCTCTCGAGATCTTCGAGTTAGCGATCCGTCGTTGCGTTCCGCTCTAGGTTTAGGAGTTCGTACACTCGACTACGAATTAGAAACGTCATCGAAATGGCAGTGTTCCCGTCTCCCCTGCAGGGGCCTTAGCGATTGATATGACGGCATCATCAAGTTCAACACACACGTTCTGTATAAGCTCGTGTTCTAGCGCGTCTCCAGACAATCCCTCTAAACCTCTATGCTCGTCCTCGTCTGCCATAACTGAACCAACGACAGGCTGACGTCTCCTCTGTTCCTCCGACGTCCTTGAAGTTCCGGCTTGCCCGCTTCGCTTTTGCTGACGTCTCTATCGCGTGGGCGTACCAGTCCAGCCAATACGCTGGCGCTCTAAGATCTTCAGACGAGACCTCTCGGGTACGTTCCAGCACGTCTTCCGGTATTCCAAGCTCGGCACTCATTTCTGCGAGTGTCAGCTTCCCTTGTTCATTCGCGTTCCGCTTGGCACGAAGCATAACAATTCCTTCGTCCATCGGGAACAATCATTCTTCCGTTCCTTCTCGTACTTCTCGCGTTCATTCTTCACCACCCGGTCGCCACCGCGCTCGAGCATGGCCAGCGCCTCGTCGGTAAACAGGCGTTCGTTGTGCTGTGTCGAATCCTTCCCCTTGGTACGTTCTGCGTTATCCTCAGCGTTCTGAGCGTCTGTCCTTGATTGACGTATGCTCACTTGTACAATAACTTCCGAGAACTGACTTGACCTGGCGCCAGATGCGTCCTCCGTGATCGTTTCGAGTGCTCCTTCGCACTGCGTAGAGCGGGCAAGCTGCATCTCCACTCCCTCACTCTCGTGGAACTTCTCCTTGGCGTCTGCTGCAGTCTCGGGGCGTTCCATTGCTCTCTCACTGACGTCCGGTACCGGCTAAACCACCACTAATCGATGTGTTTGGGCTGGCCTATGACAAGTTTGTGGCCTAACAAGAACGTGTGGGCTGGATGTGAGCGTTGGAGGCGCTCCTGAAAGACGGAGCCTTGGCTTTAGGCCCTTAAGTGAGAGTGAGTGTACGGAAGCCTTGATTCGAAACGAGGTTCTGGCACGTCTCGTGCATCTCTCGCACATGCTGGTCTAGCCAGTACTGTGTGCGCTCCAACTGTTCCGTTACCGTCCATCGAGTTGATTCTGCACTATTGTCAGCCGACATATTTTCTGCCCATTTAGGACGAAGACGACGGACAAGGTGAGAGCATGCGTACTGGCATGGGTGAAGAAAGGACGCGATCGCGTACGTGCGTGAACGTAAAATTAGCAGTGGTAGAAAAGGAAACAGACCCTGGAGGGCTGGGCTGATGCAACGCATATCTCCAGGACTTGTCTGGTCCGTTCTTGCTCTCGTAGAGACGC